ATGGTCATTATTATAACACACATGATATGTAACATCAGCGGACCACCTACGGCCCCCCACCACCCACCACCGCCCGGCCCCAATCCCAAGTTGCCCCCCATCGCCACCCCCTGTCTCCTCTAATCTAAGCACACACACAAAACACAGCACTATTATTATATTATTAAAAATTCATAATAATCCTTCACCTCTGCTCAAAAAAACATTAAACCCACCCCCCACCTTCTGCCAAGAAAATGCCTCCAGGAGGCCCCATAGCTCTGTACTGTACTGTGAGTACTACTCATCTCCTTTATTAATTTCAGTTCTTTTGGTATTGTTTTAGCTGTTAGCTCTGTGTATACTTTCTTTGATAAACAGAAATCCCATCTTTTCATTGACTGTGTGTGTGTGTCTGTGTGTGTGTGTGTGTGTGTGTCACAAGATCAGATTTTTCTCTTCTTTTTATCACTCTCCACCATTTATCTCAAAGCCCCTCTATTGTATCTTCCATGTTTGGCCAAACCCTAGATCTGTCTGTCTCCATGTGAGTGAATAAGCACTGCTCCCCTGTTCTTTTTCTTGCTCAGAAACTGCAAAAGTGTGTCTCTGTGTTTGGTTTATTTTTGTGCCTTTTTTTTTCTTTTTCTTTATTTTTTCCACAATCCCATCACTTTTAGTATAGCTGTGTAACCTGCCCAGTTGTTTTTTTTTTTTTTTGTTCCCTTTTATTCTCAGTGTTTGCTTCTTCAGGAACTGGGGAATGAGTTAAGACTAGCTTACTGAGCCCTCACTTCAAAAAGAAACCAACAAAGTAGTTTGTTTGCATGTGTGTGCCTATCATCTGTTGCTTATATGTTTACTGACTTCAATAATGTTGATTACAAGTGCAGATTGCCTGGGAAGTGAAAGGAGGATTACGTAATATCGAAATCAATTCCGGGTTTTCGATTTAAAGAGGGGATATAAACAATTAAAGATAGGAGTTTGAAAAAAAAAAAGATTAATAGATAAAGATGAGGGGCACAGCATCCACATCTGTGACGGTGGGGCTGGGGATAGGAGAAGGAGGTGATGAGGTGGCATACGGCAGTTTTCGGTACTACCCGTTTACATCTATCCAACGACAAGAGCTGGAGCATCAAGCCATGATATACAAGTATCTAGTGGCGGGTCTGCCCGTGCCACCTGACCTCATCTTGCCAATACGCCATAGTTTCGAGGCACTCTCGGCCCGGCTTTTCCACCACCCTTCACGTAAATCTCACGCTTGTTTTTATTCTCTTAAAACGTCCTTCTTTTGTTTCCATATATGTGTTTGGGTTAGTATGAACGTCTGTGTATTGAAGTGATTGAGGGTAGGTGTGTAATGAATACGACCGTACTATGAAAGTGTCTTGTGTTGATAGGTCTCTGTATGGTTGTTGGTCATTCTGGGTTTTAATGGTCAAAATGGTAGATAATTCAATAAATGTGTTCATAAGAAAGTGACTGTGGACTCTAACAGTTATTTTGTGCTTGTTATGTTCAGGAGCTTCTGTTTTCTTGTTGGTCATGAGATAGTAGACGATATTATTAATGCTTTATTATTGATTCTTTATGTGTACTGAGACACCGAGCTTTCATGCTTGCTTGCTCCTAGCAAAAATCTAGAGATTGTTTTAAAACATTCTTGTTTTGATGAGAAAAAGCTGGCCGTGAGTAATACTAATTGAAGATTCTATCCTTCTTGAGAATGATTTTCATGCTTTGATAACAACTAGATGAAACATATATAAATGGCAGACGATAGAGTTTAAACTGTTGGTCTTCACTTCAGGAGCATCTGCAAACACTAAACGAATGCACACACAAAAAGAAAGAAAAATGGAAAACCAATTCTTTGCTTCCAACTCCACTGCATAAGTTAGGTGCACCTTTACTCATTGAAGCTAAGAATTGTCCTCATTTGGTTTTTGAAAACATTCTCTTGTTTTGAAATACAATTTCACCAACTGTGACCTGAAACAATTACAAAGAAAATGAAAACTCGGTGCTACTATTCTCCGTGCAGTGGGCTACTGCTCCTACTATGGGAAGAAATTCGACCCAGAGCCCGGAAGGTGCCGGAGGACAGACGGGAAGAAGTGGAGATGCTCGAAGGATGCGCATCCCGACTCCAAGTATTGCGAACGGCATATGCACCGTGGCCGCAACCGTTCAAGAAAGCCTGTGGAATCCCAAAACAACTCATCTCAGTCCATCCCCACTGCACTGCCACACGTGTCTGGAGGCAGCAACATTACCGGAAACTTCCAGAACATGCCCTTGTATTCAGTCATGGGCACCCAGAGTTCCCCCTATGGGAGCAGCGTGGCGAAGCTGCAAATGGAGCCCGTCTCGTATGGAATAAATCACAAGGAATTCAGGTACTTTTTGTTAGAGATTCTTTGGTTTTCTTGAATGTGAATTGTTATTTGTTTCTTTTATTGCCCCTCTGAGTTCGGACATGTGTATGAATAGTAGGAAAGAAACAAAACCATGTACAGTACTTTCACTTGTTTGCAAGTCTCTTCAGCAACAGGTGGATGTTTTTTGTTCAAAAAATAGCATGTCGTACTGTAATATTTCAAGTGTTTACGAATCTAGAATCAACCAGTAGGAAACTTTAGAATCTGATTTATTTATATGTCCCATGATATTTTAAGGATGTGACTTGTTTTACTTTTAACCCCTTTGTCTCTTCTTTACATAAGTTTGAAAGTTTTAGTGTATGACTTTTTTCATTGAAAAATTTAGAATAGTGAACTTGGGATTGGTTGCAAAACGATGGCATGGGAGATGATGGGAATGCCCCTTTATTTTATCATGATCGTGACTGATTTGACTTCGTAAGAAACCCGGCAGACTGTGATTACAATAAGAAAAACTAAGAGGAAAGCACCATTATTCCTTGTGATTGTGGCAGACATGGCTTCTTCTTGTTCTTATTTTTCCTCCTTTTATTCTATTTTTGTTATTTTGCCCTATTGAGTAACCTGGGAAGATTGAAATTACTACAACAAATTAGGAATGCATTTTTCAGCTGCTGAGTTTCTATGAAGCAGCAGTGGTAAAAAAACATCTGAGAAACATTCTGTTTCAGTTATACGGTCCTCGTCTTGTGTTCACTTTGTTGTAAAACTCCATTTATACGGAAATCAACTTTTCAGAGTCTTTTTCCTTGTGTGTGAGTGTGTGTGTGTTTTCTGAATTTCATGAAACACAAATGCTCTATTAGAATTGTCTGTCTAATTGTGGCCTTGTGCTCAACCGTACTAATATGAACTCTAGTGAAAGAGTCATCATCTGCAATCAGTTTGTCTTCTGCTTACAGGCAGATTGGCAATTCACATTTTAGAACATCTGACTACTAATAATATATGAAATTTAATAGCATTCTATATAATGATTGGTCATTGACCAGTAAACTTTTGGCATCACTTTTAAATTCAAAATCACGCTCATTATATGTAACCATATTCTATCTCTACTGCCTTGCTGAGACATTTGGCGAGCATATTAAGGGCCCAGTTAAGAGATTGTGAAGCTAGTGCGAGGAGATATATAACGAGTGTATACGAACAAGATTGATGAATGTTATTAGGTGCATCTATTCCGAGGCAAACTGCAGCGTGCAAGTTTCTCATTCTATTCATAAACTAAAATTACGCTGAATGAATTAATTTCGACCAAGGAAGTTGTGTGTGCTTCTTGTCTCAATATAATTTCCATGCATATGTATCTAGACACTTGCTAACTTGAGTACAATAAATACACAGGTATAATAATAATATTCAGGGACTGACTCTTGATCCTGATGATCAAGGTTTCTCATCAGAAGCTTCCGCCCTGGGTTTGAGCTGCAACTCAGGAGACGCCACGTGGCGGCTCATGCCCACTCAAGTCTCCTCGAGCTCCCTTCTGAAAGAGAAACCCGATACTCAGTTTCTGGGCTCATCCTCAGCCCCACGAAACATTGCCCATGCTTTTGAGCCCATGAGTGCCGCCATTTCTAGACAGCAAGAGCAACACGCGGTGCATCCTTTCTTTAGCGAGTGGCCAATGAACAAGGAATCATGGTCCACTCTGGATGATGATGATGACGGGTCAAACAAGAATGTTTTCTCCTCCACGCAGCTGTCCATCTCGATCCCGAGGGCATCTTCTGATTTTACTTTGAGGGGTGGTAACTCCCCTAAATGGTGAGTGAAAAAATGGATTCCAGTGGGCAAGTTGAGGCTGCCCACTGGAATCTTTCGATTTTAGAAATTTTTATTTATGTCCACGATGCGAATCACTTTTACCAGAACATGCAGTTGTTCATTGGAGTTCTTGAAAATGCACTACTCTCGTAGTTTCGTCTTTTTGAATTGCCAATCACAAAAAACAAAGAAAGAAAGAAAGAAAGAAAATCAAATTCCCTTTTCCACATACTTTTATTTCCAACCGCAGATTGTATTCGAGCAATTTTTAAGCTATCATTGCGTATCAAATTGTCGTGTAATAATTCAATTCTATATACATTAGAGTAGATGTTCACTCTTATTGCAACCTCTTGTTTACTCTGACTGATAGAAAAGAAAATGAAAGGATATGCAGTTATAATATCCTGGAATTAGCGTACAATAGCATGAAATTACGAAAGTTTGGACACTTCGTAAATTTGATGGTTTAATCGTGCAGATAATTGAAGGAAGATGGTTTTAGCAATAAAACCAATCGGTGGCTGCCGTTTTGCTAATCGATGTTGTGTCTTGAGGATTGGCATGTTTGTGCGACATTCGTGTACTATGATAGTTGTCGACCCGATGTTTGAATTTTCTCTCGAAATATTGTATTTTTCTTTAAGTGAACTATGATGTATTTGAGCTGAGTCTCCTGAATAATTGTAATTCTCCAAATTCATTGCATTGAATAAGTGTCATCATCATCTTCCAGTCTTGAAGCTGCATATACATATGACTATGAGGTAAATGGGTATTTGCAAAGTAGGTTTATAGTCTCTTGTTTCATTTGTCTTCGTTGATGTGAACTCATATCTCTTGATCTTGTGGGATTTTGAAGGAATGCTGCGAAATCTCAGGTCTAGGAGGTGAGATTTTAAGTGAGATTTTGTATAATTTTTTTTTTTTTGTTTAGAAAACCCATGAAATCTTAAAAATATTAACAAATTCTAGTGTCCAATAAATTAAATACCTCAGGATTTTGTAAGATCAAAACTCTTAACAAATATAAATTGAATACACTAAGATTTCTTTTTTTTTTTTCCCAAAACGATAGATTATATTATAAATCAAAAAGCACAAATGTGCAAATACACAGCAGCCAACGGCTGAATACACAGCAGCCAACAGCTGAAAAAGTGGGAGGACAGGTCAGAAAACCGCCTAGAATCCCGGTTAGCAACGCTAGAATAAAGCTCGCAACAAACTAACCAACTAAAAACTAAAAACAACTAAAAAATACCCCAATAGGGTAATACTCGAGTGTCGGATCCTATAGAGACAATAAGGTGACACTCGGGTTCACAGAGGCTAACGCCCAAACCAAAAACACCAACCTAAGGGAAACAAAAACTAAAAGAAACGGAAAAACCAAACTAAACTAAACGACAAGGGCACAGCCTCCCCCACCAGATACATCGAGATACGCAACAGACAAACCAACTCCAAAGGCAGCTTACGGGCACGGAAACGACCGTCCGCCACTGCATAAGGCCTAGCGAGACGGGGTACCCATACTCATAAGCCCACCGAAGAGCTGGCCCGCACTCCAATCACGTGACTAACCGACACGGCTCGACATCATTGAATAAGCCCGCCTGGAACAACAACCATTCAACCTAGCCCCAAGTGGCTGAACACAACCGGGCAGCCGAGCAATAACCGGAGGCAACACCCTGATCCCAACCACAACTACACCCCCAAATCGAGAACAACCAAATCCAACTCGCCTAGGAAGAACCGTGAAGTCCCTCAGATCACAGACAAAATAAAAAATCGAGACAAAAGCCGCAAAGACAAGGACAAACCTCCAATTGACATAGCCAAAAGTCGAGAAGAACGAGGCCCCTGCCAATCGTCGCTTCGCCGGCGAAAAGGCGCAGTCTTGATCGGTGGCGAGAGGAGCAAGCAAGGTGAAGGAGGAGCGACCCAAATCAAGCCAAAAGCAGTGAACCCAGCCTCGTCCATGGACCAGCACCGCACCCCGTCCACCGCCTACAACACCAGAACGCCGACGACCAACCATGGAGGAGAAATCTCTTCGATGGTCGACGCGCAGAACAGAGCCGGGCTTCAGCAAATGAACCGAGGGTTGGGCCGCCATAGACAAGCGACAGAGGCTGTCCACTGACGAACCCGGACGGACGGCGAGGGAGCTACAATCGTCGTAATTGAAAGGGCGGGTGGCTAGGGTTTGAGAGGATTTTCTTTTCGGCGACGAAGAGAGGATTTTTGTAAAGAACTAGTTACACTAAGATTTCTAAAGTCTTAAAAATTCCAAGTCTAAACTGCTAGAGCACACTCCAATAACAAACTCGAAGGAACTAAGCCAAAGCCCCAACATTGCACTCCAATAAACTGACTTGGTGGAGTACTACATCACTGTTTTTATGTTTTTACTGCTTTCTAGCTTAGGTTTGTAGGTTTTGATAATTAGGTAGGTCCCGTTGAATGTGCAGTGGCTAATTATTTTTTAATGCTCTAGATTCCAGTAGGTGGAGTTAGCAGGGGGAGATAGAATAGAGCTCTCGGGGTCTTAGCCTTAACCTTTGTGGAGAGAACGTCTCTATCTTTTGTTGTTGCTATGTAAGGAGTGGGTGCTCTTTCTATGTATGTTGTTGTGGATTTTTGGAGTGGGTGCTCCTTTTATGTATGTTGTTGTGGATTTTTGGACCTTTGTTTTGGCCTCGACCCCTTTGTTCATATGATATAAAATCTATCGTTTCGAAAAAAAAAAAAAAAAGTACTACATCAAGATTTATAACAAGCCAAAGCCCCAAAATTGCACTTGGCCCTCCTTACTGGAGCTAAATTTTTCGTACGTTGTTTCTTACAATGCAACAAATTAGGGACTGGATTTTTCTCTCCCCACTTGGAAAAGTTTAAGAAAAGAGCACACAAACTTAAGGACAAATGTTTTCACATTATGGTCATCATTCTAACACACATGATATGTAATGTAACATCACCGGACCACCCTACGCCCCACCAACAAATATTAAAACACTATTTTAAATACTCTAGAATAATTTCGAGTAAGCAATTGTAGAGTTTCAACCGATTAATTGATTTTACCATATTACTTTATCAATTTTATTTTTTTTTGGTAGCCAGCTACGGTATCCGGAGTTATACCTCATTGATCCGTTGGTAAACCCGGTTCGAACACCTAGCAGTGGTGGGTGAATCTCCCAACAAAGGTTTTCATGCTTCCACAAGGATTCGAACTCGAAACCTTTCTTAAACGACATCAACTTTATTAAATATTGTATAAATATGACTTTATATAATAATACCGAATGTCTTGATCTTGCACGTCGATTTTTGGTACTTCGTAATTTTAGAACGATGATGCTTTGTAATCTCGTGTGTTTGGTTTGGAATAGTACAATTAGATTATATGACTTCTTTCTATGACTGTTAGGACTTTTTAAGTTACAACTGACCAACTTAAAATTCAAAATATATTTTTAAAGTTAATAACTTTCGTATGTTATAATATACCAGATTCATCATCACAGAATGAACTTCAATTTGACATCCATATTGCATATACAAATTAAATAAATATGTATATGAAATTGAAAATTAAATAATGTCCATGAAAAATACTAGAATTATTTATCAATTAAATAAGTTTGTATATTAAATTCATTATATGACTTAAATACATGGGGTGTAATTTTGATTAGCTCCTTACTTATTAGGACTTTTAAAATTATAAAACATTTGACTAACTTAAATTATAAATATATTCAAAAGCTGATAACTTTCTTACCTGTCATCATTTTTTTTTTAACATATCAAAAGAATAGTTTTGTTTTTCTATATTATAAAATTAAGTCATCTTTAATACTAATTAACAATTAATAAAATTATATACAATTCAAAAGACATCTATAAATTCATTGCATGTGAATTGGAAATAATATAAGACCAGAAAATCGTACAAGTGAAAATTTCTATATAAATTAATATTGCAGAATGTCTCGGTCTTGCATGTCGATTAATGGGGTTTCTAATCCTATGTGTCGAGTTCTTGTACTTCATAATCCTAGAGTTAGGTTTGAAATAGTACAAGTAGATCTTTAATTTCTTTTTTTTCCATGCCTATTAAGACTTTTATAAAAATTATAAAATACTTGACCAACTTAAACTTCATATATATTTTGAAAGTTAATATTTTTTGTATTTCTTATCATATTTATGTATATATATTCAATTTAATCGTCTCATAACAAATTTCAATTTGACATCCGTATTATATAAATAAATATGTATATTGACATTTGCAATAGCAAAATTATATATCAATATTAACTGGAAAATAATAAAATTATTTACCCATTAATTAAATTTATATTAAATTCATTATATAATATAACTTAATACATAAATCTAATGCAGAGTAGCCCATGTAGATTTGTATTCTATCACACCCTTTATGACTTTTTTTTTTTTCCAAAACGATAGAATTAATACATCAAACACATAATTACAATCGGCTCACTAGTCGAAATGGGAGGACTACCCAAGGCAGCCTAGATACCACAACGCACACTACGAAACAACCTAGAAAAATAAAAGCTCCCCAAAGGAGAATACCTAAAGCTCCCCACAGGAGAATACATAAAACTCCCCACATGAGAATAGCACAAACTCCACAGAGGAGAAAACAAGCTCCTTCAAAAAAGGAGATAATAAAACACAATAATAAACAACACACAAACAAACACCACATAGACACAAAACAAACAAAACCAAAACAGAATATTAGAATAAATCCCTCCGCAGGTAACAAACGACACCGCACAACCACAAAGCTGAAACCGAAGGCAACCTCCCAAATCAGACAGGGACCCGGACCAAAGCTCTGAACCAGAAACTGCAGTAAAGTTACGCCTAACTAGAGTCGAACCAACGACAAACCCTCGCCCAGGAAGACTACCCCGGCCCAAAGCTAGAGACCAGCTCCAAACTCCC